CTCTCTCTCTCTCTCTCTCTCTCTCTCTCTCATGAATGGCGATCGATGGCAACGAGCCATTCATAATATCTGGCTGCTGCCGCTGAAAACTCGATAACGATAAACGAGGCGAGAACATACATCAAATGCGCGCAGGGATTAGTGCGGGGCGTCGCTATCGTCATCGTCATCGTCATCGCCATCGCTATCGCTATCGTCATCGCCATCGTCATCGTCATCGTCATCGCCATCGCTATCGCTATCGCTATCGTCATCGTCATCGTCATCGCCATCACACGCATCCGCATACATCTCCCTTTTATTCTCCATTTCCTTCTTTCCCGTGTCATTGCCATATAGATAGCAATGGGTGTCATCAAGAGTAGATAATTTTTTATAGTTATTATAGATAGTTATTTATCTACTCTTGGTGTCATGCCCTTTCTCTATCTCTCTCCCCTTCTCTCTATTCCACCATTACATGATTCTCTTTCTCCTCCCACCATTCACGTCCGTTCATTTTCTCCCTGCCGCTCTCAGCCCTTCTCTCTATTTCTCTCTTCTCTTTCCCTCCTCTATCTATCTCTTCCCTCTCACTTTCTACCTCTCCCGTCCCATCCCCTCCATCTATTCCACCATTCTCCGCTATCCATGTATTTCTACCGCTTCTCTCTCTATATCTCTCTCTCCCCCCATCTGTCTCTATTCCCCTCGCTTTACCTATCTTTCCTTCCACTCTACCTATCTATTCCTTTCTCTTCTCTACCTATCTCGCCCTCTCCCTCACTTCTCCCCCTTCTCTCTCTTTATCTATTTCTTTCTTCCTCTCTATCTAGTTCTTCCTTCCCTCTCTATCTATCTCTCCATTATTTCCCCTTCTCTCTATATCTTCACTACCCGTCTCTACCTCTTCCTTCCCGTTCTCCACTTTTCTATCTCTCCCTTCTCCCTTTATCTATCTCATCATTCCCTTCCTCATAACGCTATAATTATAAACGCTACACAAGCTCAACCACAGCGGAAGCAGGGTCGTCTCTGCACCAATTTCTTTACCAGGAGATCTCTCTCTCTCTCTCTCTCTCTCTCTCTCTCTCTCTCTCTCTCTCTCTTTCTCTCTCTCTCTCTCTCTCTCTCTCTCTCTCTCTCTCTCTCTCTCTCT